CAATTAAAAGTGGAAAATAATGAACTGGCAGGATAGTTTAGTGGCTCTAGATCACTGGCCCTTCATAGGACCCAAGTTTGATTTCCAGTACCCACATGACAGTTTACAACATAACTCTAGTCCCAGAGAATCTGATGCCTTCTGGCCTTTGAAGGTACAGGCACATACATTGTACACAGACAGACATACAGACAAAACAATCATTCACATAAAATAAAAATAATTGTTAAAAAGTGGAAAGTAAAGTGGCTGAAGAGGCGTCTCAGAGGCTAAGGGCACTTACCTGAGTTCCATTCCCAGCACTCACTTACAACCATATGTAAGTCCAGTTCCAAGAACTCTAAGGGCATCTTCTGGCCTTAACCAACACCAGGCATACATGTGGTACATATACACACATGCATGAAAAACAGCACCCCCTCTAAACGCAAAAGATACATGGAAGTATCTTATTTTTAAAAAGTGGGACAATATCAAAGTTGCCTTTAAGCCAGATATGCTGCCATGCACCTGATAATTCCAGTACTCAAGAGTCTGAATCCAGAGACTTGAGAGCTCAAATAGCAACACCCGTTTCAAAATAAACAAAAGTAGAAAACAAAAGTTACCATATTCAAAGGCCTAGTTTGTTGGCACCACAGGTATTTAAATGTCCTTTACTTGGACCTCCACAGGCATGATAGGAAAAGGGAAAGGAAGGCTTTTCCACTGACAGAACACTAACAGAGCAGAGGAGATGGACGTACTCATCCCTGGCATCAGGCATCACCAGTGCAGCATCACCAGTGCAGCATCACCAGTGCAGCATCACCAGTGCAGCATCACCAGTGTAGCATCACCAGTGCAGCATCACCAGTGCAGCATCACTGGTGCAGCATCATGCTGCCCTCATCCTCTTTACTCACAAATCCAGAGACACATATTACTTGTAATTCTTGGGAGGAACTGGGAAAGGAAGCCCCAGAACCATTCCTCAAACCTTTTATGTAAATGAGGTCCCATCACTGTGTGAAGTTTTTAAACTTCTTTTTATAAGATCTATATTTAAAACAGAGTAGGCAGAGGCTCAGATAAAATCTTTGGCTCACCATCTGTTTTCCCCTTTTTATAAGCAATAAACATACTTTGGAAAACCTCAAAAGAGTTTTATCCTTACTTTAGGAAAAGAGAGCATGAAAAAAATTAGTGTGACTGTTGTTCTTCTACAGGTTTGGAGTAGGATGGGGCAGAGTAAGTCATCAAGGAACATGAAGTATTTGTGAAAAACACAAGGGGCTTCCAAGAAATGACATAGAAAAGGAGGGAGAGTCATAGCAAACAGTCACTGATGGAAAGCTGCTCAGACACGGAACTTCACTTCAAGGTGATAAAATAAGAAATGTCCATTCCGACTTTAAGTTTCTCGCTATTGATTTTTTCCTCCTTTTGTCATCATGTTGCTCAGCTTTTTTCTTGCTCATTTATAAGTGTTCTTTGTAAACTAATCCTCAACTCTAGAGAGGCAACCCAGCAGTTAAGAGTACTGGCTACTCTTCCCGAGGGCTCAGATGCAATACTAAGCACACACATGGTTCCAGGACCTCTGGTACCCTTTTCTGGCTTCCTGGGCATGCATGTAGTGCACAGATACACATGCAGGCAAAGCACTTAGGCACACTGAAGAGGAGGAAGAGGAAGAAGGGGAGGAGGAGGAGGAAGAAGAAGAGAAAGAGGAGGAGGAAGTAAGGGAAGAGGAGGAGGAAGAAGAATAAGAGGAGGAGAAGAGGAGGAGGAGGAGGTGGAGGAGAAGGAAGAGGAGGAGGAGGAGGAGGAGGAGGAGGAAGAGAAGGTAGCTCTTAGAGTCAGGTGAAGCTGATCAAAGTACTCTACAAACCTGTTTGAAAATGCTATAACGAGGGCTGAAGAGGTAGCTCAGTCGACAGGTGCCTGCCTAGCATATATGAAACCCTGCTTAACACTAGAACCATACAAACTGGGAATGGTGGCACATACTTATAATTCAAATACTTGGGAGGTTGAGGCAGGAGGATCAGAAGTTCAAAATACCATCCTCAAGCTACACAGTAAGCTGGAGCCCAGCCTGTGATATATGAGACTATCTTAAAAACAAGCAAAAATGTTATAATCAAATTCATTTTTCTATGTAATTTATATCATGTGAAAAGATGAATATGATCAAAATATATTATTTTGTATGTATGCATATATCATAATGAAACCCATTATTTTGTACAATATATGCAAATTACTACAAGTAACTTAAAAAAATAAACTCGGGGCTGGGCCAGTAGCTCAGTGGAAACAGTGCACTTGAGTTTAGATCCCCAGCACCCATGTCAAACCTGGGTTGCAGTGTCATGCTTCTGTAACCTCAGCACTGAGGGGTGGAGAAGTAGAACAGGAAAATCCAGGGCTTACCAGCCAGCTAGTCTAACTGAAGAACAAGTTCAACTGAAGAGACTCTATCTCCAAAAATGCCCAAACAAGAGACATTGAGAGTGATACAGAAAAAATCTGACCTCTACATTCATAGGTGAGGGCTTGTGTACAACACACGTGCATGCACAAGTGAGTGAGCAAGAGCGTGACTGAGTGCATGAGTGCACACACGTGTGCACATGCACACACAGAAACTAGTTCTTAGACATTTTAACCAGACAGGTCCCTCTTTCTGTGAGTGGTGTACAGCAGATACCCTTTTGTTCTCCCTTTTAACCTCAATCATCACTCATCCGTCAAAGAATCTGGAAATCTCTGCTGACTTCCAAAAGGCAAATAACAACACATTAGGAAAACAGTTTTGACCTCTAGAAAACCTGGCTCACCTTGAGAATACCATCTGACATTGATTATCTCACTCATCACCCTGTCAATCATTAATGATAACTGATTTTTGTTGGCATAAATAGCCTCCAGGCAGAAAAAGGACTGAGAACAACAGACTTTCAAGATAATCTTCAAATTCATGAGTATGAATACTTACAGACTAAAACCCATCAAGTTTATTTCTTGCTACTTAAGACTCTTTCTTTCTCCCTCTCGACTGCATTTCAAGCTATCTCTGATCTTTCTTCATATGCACCCTTTTGTTCAGAGGCCTTATCTCATTCAATCTTCAGACCTGAATCTGCCTTTCTCATCTCTGAAGCCTTCCCCTGAGATCCCATTCCCAATCACCCCACCCCCACCGCACACTTTTTTTTTTACTTCCTTAGCATATTAGTGCTGTTCACATTGCTCTGCAGTTACTCTTTATGTCTGCCTCTTTACCACATACAGAGCCACTGCAGAGCTGACGCACTCTGTGCTGTCTTCGCATGTATAATGTCTCTCACAAAGCCAGAACCCAAACACATATTTGAATCTGCCTTTCAGAATCAATTCAAGGCTCATATATCCTCAAAGTAATCCAGGCCAAAGTAGCTGCTCCTCCTACTGTGAATGTGGGTGGCATTATGGCTTGGACTAAATAAGAAGGAGAAATCAAATTGAGCAGTCATATCTGTCTGCTTCCTGACTATGAATGCAATTTGACGAGTGGTTTCAAGCTCCAGCTGCCATGTACCCTCAAACTGTGAGCGAAAATAAACCTTAAGTTGCTTTTGTCAGATATTTTGTTACAGAAGTGAGAAAAGTAACTATGCCAGAAAACTGGTACTCAGGAATGGACCCTTTGCAGTGATAAACCTGACCATGTAGCTTTTAGACCTTTTGAACTGCTTTGTAGAAATAATGTAGAAAAGCTTGGAACTCTGGGCTAGAAAAGCCATAGAATGCTATAAGCAGAGGTTAATCAAAATAATCTTCTGATTCATTAGCATGCATGCATACTCATTAACAGACTAATCCAGATGACCGGAACCCAGTTGATTCCATCAGGAGCCCCAGATACTACTCAACATAGAGCTGCAAGATTTGGTGTTGGAATCTCTCCCTCACTATCCATCTTAGTTCTTCATAACTGGTTAGCATAATTCAAGCTATTCTTCTTCTAGGGAACATTTTAACTATAAGTGGAATTATCAATTTGAAAACAGGTGCTGAGATGCATCCTCTCAAAACCCACATACTGCAAGTTTAGATATGATTCCATATTCTGAGGCCGCAACACACCTGCTCTTCCCTTTCTGTTCTCCAAGACCTTAGATTTATCATTCCTTATTTTAGTTGTTAATAGTTTTAGCTTCCTTAACAAACATTCTAATGTATAGTTACTAGTAAAAATGCTAAACCTTTGAAGTAGAGTCAAGGAAACAAGGAAAGTAAAAAGAAAATCACACACAAGATGAAAATATTGTCTTTGAAAATAAATAATTTATGGTAAGTAGGCTCAAACCAATGCTTTTCCTTAAATGGAATTTGTCTAAAAAAATTGTATCTTTCCTATCACTATTCCTTCCATGCATCCACACCCAAGTGGGACAGACAGCATTCCCCAGAAAACATGTAGATATAATCATTAAAACTTGCTCCCAAATATGAGATAGTAACTGAAGACCACGATTTCCAATTTCTACTGTTTTGCATATGTAATAACGTCAGTAAGAAGGAGTAATATAGGCAAATATAGCTAAAAATAATCAGAAAATGTAGGTGCAGGGTGCTCTAGATTCTACTTGTTTATAAGCAAACCATCAGTAACAACATTTAACTGAACGTTGAGTTTTTAATACAAAAAAGACCTGAAGTTGGGGGCAATTCTTCCTGACACATACCCATATGAATAATCTTTCAATAAAGAAATCCTGGAATTAATTTCATGTAAGAAGAGACTGTTAGACATTGTGGTGCATGCCTGTAAACCTAGCACTCCGGAGGCTGTAGCATTTAAGACCATGAGTTCGAGGACAGCCTAAGCTACACAGAGAATCCTTGTCTCAAAAAAAGGAGGAATCTGGTGAATGGAAGGAAGCCATCAGCTGACAAACAGCAGTTTCCTCACCCCATTTTGCCCCTCCCCATCCCACAAGCTGTAGGAAGTAGAAAGCTGCAGAGTGTACCTTCCAGGCGAGAAGCAAAACATTGAGGATGGCCAGCAAAGGGCAGGGTCCATTCTCATTCTGGGTGATGATGGGCGTGTTCTCCTGTTTCCACTGGATCCATTTGATGTGATACACTGACTGTCCGGGAAAGCGTTCTTTGGAGGCTGTCAGCACCTGAGCCGGGTCCTCCTCCTCCTCTTTGCACAGAGGTGCAACCCTGGGCGGCCCTGCCGCGCCCTCCTCCACGTCCTCAGGGACCCTCGCCTCTGCTCCCTCCTCACTATTGAACTCAGAGCTACTGGGGAAAGAATGCAGGTTGGAGAAAGACTCCAGGGAGTCCAAGCTAGGCGAGTCCCCTGGGGGGCTCGGCTCGCTGCAGCTGCTGCTCAGGGCGCCGATGCTGCTGGGCTCCTCCGCCGCCTGCTCCACCCTGCAGGTGCCAGTGTCGCCCACTGGCCCCGACCCTCCGCCCGCCGCGGCCTCGGCCAGCTCCGAGGAGGCGGTCACCTTGTGCTGCCCTCTTGAAGGCGCCTCCAGGGCGGCAGGGCTCGACGACGCGCTGTCCTTCAAGTCCGAACCCGCGCTGCATCCTTGCTGCGAAGGGAACGTCGGGTCCCCGAGGCTGTTCTGCGCTGCCGCCGCCCCCTGCCCGCCGCTGTCCACCGCGCGTCCAGCGGGACCGTCCTCAGCCTCGCGCCCGCCGCGCCGTCGCCCTTCCGGCGGCGACACTCGCCCGGCCGCCACCCCAAGTTCCAGAGGCTGTGGGCTGTCAGGGCTGTTCTCCATCCCCCGCCGCCCGCCCCTGGTCCTATAGACACCGCGGCCGGCTCTCCTGAGCTAGCGCCTCTGACGCCATGACAGCCGCTCTGTAGCAGCTCCAGCGCCCTAGCGCGGCCTCGGCCAGGCACGTCACCGTAGAGGACGGCGGGAGCGCGCGCGCGAGCTCTCGCCCGCCGGCTCGGAGCGTGCCTCCGCGTGACTGCGCTCGGTGAGGCGCCCAGACGCATCCCAGGAGCGCTTCTCCCCCGAGGCCACGCCCCTCCCGCGCACACGGGAGGCCTGGGAAGGCAGAGCGATGCCAGGGGCGTGGCTGAGGGCGTGGTCAAAGGCGCGGCTCCTGTTGCCGCAGCGCTACAAGGAAAATAATCTTCTGTGTGCGGCCGGAAGTTGAACTCCCAGGCGTCCCCGCTGCGCGCGGTTACTTTAAAGGCAGTCGCTGAGGCTTGTAGCCAGTGTGGTCCAGTTTTGGGCTTATGCCTGGTGGACCCCGAAAGTAGCAGGAGCATTGGAAGACAGCCATTCCCTGAAGGCCTCGGGAGAGCTGGTTTTTTTGTTTTGTTTTTTGTTTTTTTAGCTTTTAATGTTGAGAATTGGAAGCATTTCTTAGGAAATGCAAATTTTAAAGGCGAGATCTGTTGGAGGCTTTTGGAAGACTGTGCAGCACAGGGGCAGCTCTTCCTGGGTTTTGGCTGAGAATCGCTGTGCTCCCAACCAGCTACTGGTTTGCTCTGCCGGAGGTTCAATGAGGTTGTGGATATTGGCCTATGCCCCAGGAGAGAGGGTAAATTTGGGCCAGTAATAATAAATTAGTTTGCGTTTGAAGCAAGCCAAGTCTTCGCGGCTCTGTTCACTTGGCTCCTCTTTGCACGGAGTGGGAAGCTTTTGCTTCCCGAAAACGTAACTTTTTATATTAGAATTGACTTCTCATCAGGCCTTGACATCTGCAAAGAGGATGGACAGAATTGCTGGCCTTTTTTTTTTGGCAAGAGTGGATATAGATCATCTGACCTGCTTTGGAAAACTGCTTTTTCTGGACCCTCCCCCTTTAAAGTTGTCTAGGCTCTGAGGATATAAAAATGAACAAGACAGGTCTTCCTTCAGGATCAGGCATACAAATATATGGTACATCATGGATTGTTATACTGAACTTCAGAAGTTCAGAGAGTTCAGACTTTGTGTGGTGCCTTAGATTTAAAAGGGGACCTACAAAGGTGTGGTATATGATTAAACTGGGTGAATGAATAGATGATTTGTAAGCCAATGTAGTACACTGTAGAGCCAGAAATAATGGGATATACTTGTCAAAGAATGTCTTTTCTCCAGTTTTTGAAAATCCCGTGTGAACAAACCTATACTTGCAGGGTAGCAGTGGTGCATGCCTTTAATCTCAACACTTGGGAGGCAGAGGCAGATGGATCTCTGAGTTCAAGGTTAGCCTGGTCTGCAGAGTAACTTCTGGGACAGCCAAGGCTACACAGAGAAATCAGGTTTTGAGAAACAAGCAAACAAGAAAGAAAGAGAGGAGGAGAGATTCATTCATTTTTATTTTATGTGTATGAGTGTTTTGCTTATGTGTATGTATGAGCACTGAGTATTGTGCCTGGTGACTGCAGAGGTCAGAAAAAAGGTATTAGATCCTCAGAATAGAGTTACAGGCCATTGTGAGCCATCATGTGGATGCTGGGAACTGAATCTGAGTCACCTGCATGAGCAGCAAGTGCTCTTAACAACTGAGCCATCTCTCCAGCCCCACCTTTGTATTTGCATGTAGTTATTGGCAGTGTTGGGGAGCGATGGCTAGGAGAAACAAGTATAGAACAAGTCTTAGTTTGGGAAATAAGATACTGATAAGGGCTGAGAAATGGCTCAGTAGATAGTGCTTGCTTTACAAGCCTATATTCAAGTACTTAAAAGTACAGGCAAGAAGAACTCTATGAGTTTGAGTCCAGCCTGGCCTACATAGCAAATTCTAGGTTAGCCAGGACTACACCGAGAGTCCTTGTCTCAAACAAACAAACAAAGCCCACGATTAAAACAAAATAACAAAAACCCAAACAATTTGGGGAGTGATCAGAGAAGGGGTGACTGACATCTGGCCCCTGCAGGCCCCTCACAGGTGAGTAAACCAATACACACATACAGACACATGCACACCCACATGCCAAAACATACTAACAGAAAATGATTGTTGAGATTATATAACAATTTTAAATAACTAGTAATAAACCATAAATATTATAAGAATTCAGAGAAAAACCCTTGTGGGACAATAATTAAAACTATAGAATGAGTATTGCCTTATACTTAAGAAATACAAAGCATAGATCTTTTTACGATCAAAATAATATTGATGATAATTTTAGTAACAATATTATTCTGCTAGTGTTTTGTGTTGCTTTTGGCAAGGTCTTTCTATTTAGCCCTAAAATAGCCTGTAACTTAAGCTAGCCTTGCAAGTGTTGAGGTTACAGGTGTGAGCTACCACATCTGGCTAAAATTATAATTTTATTTATTTTGTGTTGCCTGGAATTGAACCCAGAGTCTTATGCTTACTACGAATGGGCTATACAACTAACTATATCTTGGCCTTGATTGTTTTGTTTTAGGCTAGCCTCATACTCTTGGTCTTCCTATATCAGTCTCCCAAGTACTGGGATTATAGGCATGGGCCATCACTTTTGGCTTGAGTCTCTTAAGACTTAAGCTTATGATTGAAAGGTATTGTATAGTTCAACACTGCAGGCAGAGAGGCTGAGAACTTGGTGAGTTCTCAGTCAGTGAAGCTGGATTCTCCAGCATAGTGGGTCTCATGCTGAGGGGCTGCAGAGTCTCTGGTCTGTAGTTCACATTAGAGCTTGAAGAAGGCTGGAGCCTGATGTCAGCAAGGAATGGCAACAGCAATAGAAAAAGACTCAATCATCAGCAAGAAGGGCAGGCAAGCAGCCCGTGCCTCTTCTTCCTTAGGCTGCCTTATATCTAGGCCACCCACTTTGCAGAGGAAGGTCTTCAAAGTTAATCCTTTCAGGAAATGCTCTCACATGCTTCCTATGTCTCTTTGTTTATTCCAAACTCAATCAAGTTGACAGTCCAGATCAGCTGTCACAGATATCAAACTAGCTGCATCAAAAGGAGCCCTGAGCAGAACCTGGAAAGTGTCTGGAGCATATGTACCTTAACTCCACCTCATTTAGTTTTCAGTTCAACATACCTGAGGTAAAAATCCAGGCTTCTCATGTAACTCAGTGGCCCTGGCTTTGGTGCTCAGCGGCTTGTAGACACTCCAGCTTCCTGCAAAGTACATCCCTAACTCAATTATTTCCTTCTCCCCATGAGGAGCCCTGCACCTGTTCAGAAACCAGTCCAATGCTGTGGTAATCAAGCAGGTGCTGCCTCCGCTCCCTGCGGCGTTAGCAGATGCTCTTCTGTCCTGGTGATGTGAAAGGATAGAGAGGAGTGACCTTTTCTTTTAGTGTGGTCCTCATTCGCTGCAACATTAGCAAAATGCTTCTCTCAATTGCACTCTTACAATCTTCTCAAAAACTGGAAACTAGATGTTACCTGGAAACTGTAGATTGTACCAGGAATGAATCCAAGTATATTCCACCACTTTAAATACTACTCTAGTCTTAGACCAGGTTATTATAAGATCAAGTTTAATTGTGCCTGCTTCTTTCTTTCCACAGGACTTCTTTCTCAAGGGAGAAAAAGTCTTGCTAAGGGTTAGAAGCAGATAGACTATTGGTAAAGTGTGTACCGCATGCCTGAGGCTCAGGGTCCAATTCCAGAATGGAAACAAACATCAAGATTGTGTTTTGCTGAAACCCTGTCTCGAAAACAAACAAACAAACAAACAAACAAACAAACAAACAAAAGATTCTGTTTTGCCAACCTACTTTACCAGTTAACTGTTGGCTCTAGTGCAGTTATTTTCAAACTATGGATTTAGAGATTGGCAGTGTTAACCTCACCTGGAAAGTTACTACAGATGAAAATTCTTAGGAATGAGGGTGAAAGTGTTGATCAGGGGTAGGGTGCTTGTCCAGAGTAGGCAAGGCTCCAGTGCATGTGCGTGCATGCGTGTGCGTGTGCGTCTGCATGTGTGTGTTATGGGAGAGGTGGGTCATTCTCTGGTCTTATTTAGTAATGTGGTGTTTAACAAGTCCTCCAGGCGATTCAAATATACTATAAAGTTTGAGCATTTGGTCTGAGGATGTAGCTCATTCAGTAGAGTGGACATAAAGACCTGAGTTTTATCTCCAGCAAAGTATAAACTGGGTGTGGTAGTTTGTAATCTCAACACTTATGTGCAAGCAGGATTAGGAGTTGAAGGTCAGTTTCATAGTAAGTTGTTGATCTGCTTAGGGGTGTGTGAGATCCTGCCTCAAAAAAAAAAAAATCCAAACAAACCAACCAAAAAAACCCCAAGATGGTGATCACCACGATCCTAGGAATAAGGCCAGCCAGGGGTACATGAGACCCTGTCTTAAAAAAACAAAAACAAAAATAAATATTGGGCATGGTAGTGTTTGCCTGTCAGCCTAGCATTTGAGGGATGTTTTTTGTGATTCTGTTTCTATCTCAAAAAACAAAACAAATATACTAAGCCAAAAAAAAAAAACAAATAAAAAACAGATATGGACCGACTTAGTCTTTAAATTTTTAGCGATCCCTTATTATGTTTGTTTAGAAGAGCAGTTGTCAAACTTTAGTTTATATATCAAAGTTATTTGGGGACACAGAAGAGAATGTTATAAGCATAGAAGCAGCCCAATATAGCAGAATGTATGATGAATGGGACTCACAGGGCTGGGATTAGAACCAGCTCCAGCCATTCACTCATTGTCAGGGTTTGGGTCAGTCAACTTATATAACTTTAATTGTTACTCTTTGCAAAAGGAAACAAAATAAAAAGGAAGAGAGAAAGAAAGAAAGAGAGAGAGAAAGAAAGAAAGAAAGAAAGAAAGAAGGAAAAGAAGAAAGAATAAGGAAGAAAAAGAAAATCAAAA